TGAGATAGATGGGACAGGATATGCTCAAAAGATATACAGCACGTTTGGTTCACGGAATGAATTTTGAGGTAATAGGAATGCTATTCCATAAGGAATGGAATAGGCAAGGAATAGAATAGGAATTGTATTCTATTGTTTGGTTCGCGGAAGGAATAGACTTTAGGAATTATATTACAGTGTTTGGTTGATTTAAGGAATAGAAATGAAATATGTTTTAAAAGACATAAATACCCTTATAAAAATATGTGATGGTGGCGATGGTGACGGTGGTGGTGGCGGTGGTGGTGGTGGTGGTGGTGCTGGGGTGGTAGTGGTGGAGGTGGCAGTGGTGGGGGCGACGGTGGTAGTGTTAACGGTGACGGTTGTGGCAGTGGTGGTGGGGGCAGCGACGGTTGTGGCGGTGGTGGTGGTGGTGGTGGCGGTGGTGGTGCTGGGTGGTGGTTCTGGCGGTGGTGGTGGTGGTGGTGGTGGCGGCGGCGGCGGCGATGGTGGTGGCGGTGGTGGTGGAGGTGGTGGCGGTGGCGGTGGTGGTATTGGTGGTGGCGGCAGTGGTGGTGGCGGCGGTGGTGGTGGGGGCGGTGACGGTTGTGGCGATGGTGGTGGTGGTGGCGGCGGCGGAGATGGTGGTGGTGGTGGCGGCGGCGGCGGTGATGGTGGTGGTGGCGGCGGGACGATGGTGGTGGTGGCGGCGGCGGTGATGGTGGTGGCGGCGGCGGCGGTGGTGAAGTAGGATATATATATGATAAAAAAAAATTAGGTTAAAGAAGGGGTAAAAAAGGAAATATATTCTAAAATCTATTCCTGAGCGTTCAGTAATAGGCTAATACCAGGGGGGCCCTAGTAATAGATATTACCTTATTTGAGGTAATAGGCTATTACCAGGAATATTATTCCTGGTAATAGAAATGGTTACCAAACAACAGAATAGGCCTATTACCGGGAATGTTATGCCATTCCCGGCCTATTCCGTGAACCAAACGGGCCAATAGTGAATCAAATAAAGATTTACTTATCTTTTATCGTCATTGCTCATAGCAATAATTCGTGTTGCGAAACAATTAAAGTTTTGATCATTTAGAATTAACACGCAACGAGAAGATTTTATTAATGATGGCCATAGAGAGACATAAGATGCGAGTACATTAGAACATATTACGTGAAAGAAGATTACTTCTTCGCTTTTCCTTTCGTGTTTTTGCTTTCTCCACTCCTTTGTGCCATCATTTTTCCTAGCTCCTGTCGTAACCATTTTGCAATCTTGGTGGTTTTCGATCCAGAAGGGAGATTGGATTTCGGCCTTGCTTCGCTGCTTGTGTCAGATTCACTCGCATGAGTACTCAGGTACATCAGATAATCACGGTCAGCAAGATGGTTCTTCCAGTCTTCAACGGAGGGAAAATTTGTTCCTCCTTTTACTGGTGGGGGAGCTTCATGTAGATCAGCAATGGGGGTTTCTTCAGAGTCAGAGATGAGGGATCCATCATCACTACCAAGATGTTCACTGATGAGAGATCTAGAGATCTAGTGGAGCGTTCATGCTATTTCCAGGATACAGATCGCGTTGCTCTTCTCTTAACTTTCGGGCAGTTTCTTTTTGCTTTTGAGTCTGCAATCGTGTAACTGGCCTGCGGGATGCCATGAACAATTTGTTTATGAGACTCAGAGAGAGAATGAGAATGTGTGAAATTTTTGTTCACAACCCACGTCTTTTTATAGCGGAGATTGAATGATGATTCGCATTGAATATAATGGGCATTGAATGACCATTCAATGTCTTTGTGTTAGTCATCGAGCCATTCATTTCAGTTTTGACTAATAACGCGTGATTCAATAATGACCACTTAGAATATATTCCATAGGAGACTGTGCATCTGGCATTTTTGGTTCTTAAACAAAATAAAATAAATCAAATAAAGATTTATTCCTCTGAGAACACAAGACTAGAACATGACAAGCCCAAAAATTTATTCCAAGACGAGAGAGCAGTTATTCAAGGATAGAACGTTAGAACGTTACATCTTAAGATATATTGAGAAGAAACTACTTCTTCTCTTTTCCTCTCCCCGCCTTACTGGATTCCCCCTCATCCTTTCGGGTATTCTTCTTTGGTGTAGAAAAGACAGGGCGAGATGAGCCAACAGATGATCTCGTTTCGTCATGAGAGACTTCCTTTAGATATCCGTAGAGCTCGGACTCTCCATCATACGTTCTGAAATAGGTGCGGAGATCTTTGTCAAGGTGTGGATTGTTCCAAGCTTCTTCAGATAAAAGCCCCTTTTTTACAACGGGAGGAAGTGCCTCTTTAGGATCAGCTTTGGGGGTTCTTCATCAGTGTCATACGTGATGAATCCGTCATAATTCGTGGGTTCTGAGTCTGATGATACGTCTAATGGAGCACGCATGCTGTTTCCTGGATATAGATCACCCTGTTCTTCTCGAACAAGGCGAGCCCTCTCTTTGATTCTCCTTGTTGCGTCTCTGGTGATGGGCTTATGAGGTGCCATTGTAACCAAATTTTTGAGATGATGCTAAACCAGCTATAGCAACCTCTTTTTATAACCAGAAATGTGAGATATCCATTCAATGTATTCAACGTAGCACTGATATCCTTGATGAAATCTTAATGTCATTCAGAGTTACGGTTGACGTGTCCTCCACAGATTGGTAATATAAGCATCTTGTCAAAATCAGAGAGATTAATTCCCGTGATCTTCGTAACTAATTAAGGCCCATAGAATTTAAGACCATAAAATTCCACATGACTCTCAAGTTCCGGTTTGAACAATTAATGAGATGTCATTTCAGAATTCAATTAAATCGTTGACCAGATGTGCAATGTTTCAGCATTTTGAGGTCTTGGTCAAGAGGCTCATTAAGACTAGCACCCAGAAGCAAGGTTGTAAAAATCGGCCTAGGCGGCGCCTAGGCGCCCCTAGGCCTTGCCGTTTTCACTAGTAGGCGGTGAAAACTCGCCCAGCCGACTTAGGCGGTCAAAGTCGGCCTAGGCGGTCAAAATCGGCCGGGTCGGTCAACTTGACCGAGTCGGCCGATTTTGACCGAATAAATTCAATTTTATTATTTTTTTTGGATTTTTTGCTCAAAACGACGTCGTTTTGAGCAAAAAAAAACCAAAAAAAAAATAAATAAATTTATTGAATTGTCAAACTGAAGTAAACCCTAGCTCAAACTCCCCGACACTTCTTTTCTTCTTCATCTCTTCTCTCCGTCGAACTCTTCACTCTCCAACGTGCGATTGTGCGAACAGATGCCCGTCCGGCGTCAGTCGATGCTCCAGCGTGCGAGACGAACTGAAGCTCCGGTGTGCGTCTGCTGAAGTGCCGAACTGAAGCTCTGCTGCTCTGGTGTCCGCTGCTGAATTATCTCACTGCCGTGATTGCCGTCTTCCGTCCGTCTTCCGTCTGCTTCTAAGTTCTACCTCACTACCGTCTGCTCCTTCCTCACTGCTGCAACTCTCTGTAAGTTTTTTTTTTGTTTGTTTTATTAATTTCTTAATTTGTTATTTACTTATTTTTGCTATTAGCCAGTAAGCTATTATCTATAATTAAATATTCTACACAATTACACATAGACATACACCAAGCAGTATTAACTATTAAACCAGTAACTAGTAAGCACTGTGCAGTATCTATAGACTATAATTCTATATTCTATAATTTCTTATCAAGATTCATTTCATATTTGTAATTTGTCTTTATTTGTTAATTGACTAATTGTTACTTCAATACTTTGTTAGTCAAAATGCATGAATTATGATTCAATGATGAATTGATGATTATTGATTTAGTGATAGATGTTCGATGGAGAATTTTGGATTATAAATTTGTTAATTGTAAATGTGAAATGATGTGTAATTTGTTAACTAGTAATTTTATTGTGTAATGTACTAAATTACTAATGTGTATGTTTTTTTAGTGATAATGGCTTCATCAAGTGCTTCGGTTACTCAAAGTATTGGATCTTCGGAAGCATCCACACTTAAAAGGAGATCAAATGATGTAGGATGGGATTATGGTAGCTTAGTTGATGCAAAAAATTTGGATAGAGTAAAATGTTTGTTGTGCGGGAAAGTTTTATCCGGTGGAGTGTATAGAATAAAAGAGCATATTGCTCATATACAAGGAAATGTTGCTCCATGTTCTAAAGCTACTAAAGATGATCAACTTAAGTGTAGGAATGCAATCAATGAAGCGAAGATGAGAAGGAAAAATAAAAAAGTTAGTGAAGATAATTTAAGAGCCGGGGTGAACATTGATAGTAGAAGTGAGTCAATTGATGTTGACGAGTTGCAAGGGTCTCTTGGATCTATGAAGCCACCACGTTCACTTGGCCCAATGGATAAGTTTGCAAGTGGCATCAATCCCGATCCTTCAATGAATTTAGGAAAGACATTGCAACAACAACGTATTGATGGTGCACTATAGAAGGAAAGGACAAATAGAGTGAAAGAATATATATGTAGATGGGCATATGAGGCCGCTATTCCTTTTCATGCATTTGAAAGAGATAGCTTCAAGATGATGTTAGAAGCAATTGGACAATTCGGTCCCGGAGTTGAATCACCAAGTAGATATGAGATGAGTGAAACATTCTTGAAAAAAGAAGTTGATAAAGTGAAAGAGTCTTTGAAGATACATGAAGAGGAGTGGAAGCAAAATGGATGCTCAATCATGACGGATGCTTGGACCGATAGAAAGAGAAGAAGTGTAATGAATTTGTGTGTGAATTCAAGTTTAGGCACCGTTTTCCTTTCTTCTAAAGAATGTTCACTTGATTCACACACAAGTGAATATATTTATGAGTTTGTTGAGCATGGCATTGAACAAGTTGGAGTTGAAAATGTTGTTCAAGTTGTCACGGATAATGCCTCAAACAACATGGGAGCTTCAAAGTTGTTGAAAGAGAAGAGGCCAACCATCTTTTGGACTCCTTGTGCCACCCACACGATAAATCTAATGCTTCAAAGCATTGGAAATCTCTCAAGGTACAAGAAAGTCCTTGATCAAGCAAAGGCTTTAACGATCTTTATTTATGCTCATCACAAGACTTTGGCAATGATGAGAACTTTCACAAAGAAGAGAGATATAGTGAGGCCCGGTGTGACTAGATTTGCATCTTCATTCCTTACTTTGCAAAGTTTAGCCGAGAAGAAGATTGAATTAAGGGCAATGTTTTCTAGCAATGAATGGGAGGCATGTAAATTTTCCAATATGGCTAAAGGGAAGGTAGCACACTCAACCGTAACGAGTATGGGATTTTGGCAAGGTGTAACGGCATGTTTGAAGGTTTTTGCACCATTGGTGAGAGTACTTCGACTTGTTGATTGTGATAACAAGCCATCAATGGGGTTTGTATATGGTGAGCTTATGAGAGCAAAAGAGGAAATCAAACATGCTTTGTCCGATGTCCCAAGGAACTATAAATCGATTATTGACATTATTGAAGAAAAAATGAAAGATAGGCTTGACTCTCCTCTTCATTTGATGGCATATTTGTTGAATCCTTATTACCATTATAAGGATCCACAACTTCATTTGGACGAAGTTGTAGGTGTTGGAGTTGTTGATTTTTGTGATATTCTATTCGTCAATGATTTTGACATGCAAAATAAGATTTTAAGTGAAGAATTGCCAAAATATAAGAAGAAGGAGGGGATGTTTGGAAGAAGCATCGCAATCAAAGCATGTGAGGTGAATGATGACAACTTTAATCCCGGTAAGTCATTCTTTATTCTTTAATACTTTATTGTTTACTTAATTATATTTATTTATTTATATTTAATTATTTATTAATTATTATGAACTTTGTTTTGTAGCAAATTGGTGGTCAACTGTTGGTACCTCAACCCCTTTATTGAGAAGAATAGCCATAAAGATTCTTTCTTTAACATCTAGTTCTTCGGGGTGTGAAAGAAATTGGAGCACATTTGAAGGGGTTAGTAACTTAATATGATATTTTAATATTTTATTTAGTTTGTTATCAACTTGAAGTTAATATAAATATGAATTATGATAGTTAATATTTTATTAAGCATTATTTAAACTTTGAATATTTTTATTACTTGAATTGTAGATACATACAAAGAAGAGAAATAGACTTGAATCAAATCGTCTCAACAATTTAGTTTTTGTCCAATTTAATGCTACTTTGATGAACAAGAACAAGCAAGATAAAAATATTGAAAAGTTGGTTGGTAGTGATGCAAGTTTAATACAAGATTGGATTGTGGAAAATCTTGAGAATGATGAGACTGAGCCGGGATTGGATTGCAACAATAATGCTATGGAAGTGGATGAAGCATTACAACCCCGTAGAAGTGCTAGATTGAGGGATCTTGATGAAGATAACTTTGAATCGGAAGGGGAAAGTGAGGAGGAAATAAATGAAGTGGAGTTTGAAGATGATGGGCAACGTGTTATTGAGCAATATGGACAAGATGAAGAAATTGGCAATGATCCTATTCAATCATGATTCATGAATCACTTTGGATTTCAAAACTTTAAAATTTGGACTTGAATGTTGAATTTTTGTTGAATGTTAATTATGTTGTAACTTGTAAGTTTAAACTTTAAACATTGATACTTGGATGTTGTTTCACTTGTTTCATTAGTTGGATGATTAAATGTGGTATTGTTGTTTGAGTAATTGAGTATTTGACTTGTTTAGTTGTTTGAAGGAATGCATGATAGATTGATAGTTTTATTATTTGGACGTGCTATTTGATTGAATGTTAAAAACAGCTTCATTAAATTTGTCAAACTGCAAGTCTGCTACTGTTTTTTAATTTTTTTTTAGAGCCCACCTAGCGCCGCCTAGATTCCGCCTAGGCCCCGCCTAGCCTGCCTAGGCGCTAGGCGCTGCCCGGCCGCCCGACTAGCGCCTAGCGCCTACTGCAACCTTGCCCAGAAGTAGAGACATTTATTTAGAAAAACCAGAACAAGATAACCACACCTTACACGAGAGATAAACATAGGTGTTTCCTTAAAGAAAAAGGTAAGGCATGTGGAGTTCCAGATGAGTCGTTTCGTCAGTCCCTTCGAATTCGCGAGCCATATTTGCATATTCGTCTAGCTCCTCAAGAGTGAGGGTGGGCTCAAACGAACCGCTTGGTGACTGAGTTTGAGCAAGAGAGAAATCTTCAAAAGATTCTTCAACTTTTTGTGGAACATCAGAGATAGGGTACCAACGAAAGGTGGGTGGAGATCCTTGGGATGAATTGCCATGTGCACTTTTTAGGACCATGATCCTTTCGTTTGTCATTCTTCGGGCTTGTTTCAGATGGTATTCCCTCTTTGCCTGAGACTCTGAGACAACTTTGTCTAGGTTTTCTCTGTCTTCTCTGCTTGCTATGTTTGGTAGAGAGTATGTGATGTTCACTTTATCACCATTTTCTTCTATTTTTATGATTGTAGCATTCGTCAGTTTGCTTGCTTCCATTAGGTGGTGGTCTCGTCTAATGGCTCGTTTCTCAGCTTCATCCATTCGTCCTTTTCCTCTGCTTTGATTCATTCATGCAATCAACACTACTAAAACACTAAAAGATGTTAGTAGGTTAGTGTGAGTATTTCTCTTTGGAGAGGAGGCCTTTTTATAGGTGCAAAAGGTGAATGTTTGCGTGAAGATGTTTTCATAAGATTTTGGCTTCAAGTGATAACTCTTCCTTTTTGGAATCTTTCAGAGATCTTGTAGATGGATTCTTCACAAATCTTTAAGATTTTAGCTTAAAGCCTGTACATTAGATCATGTCGATTTCATGACGTGGGAATGCAACGTAACTTTCACATAGTGCTTGTGTTTTTAACCAATGGATATGTAGAAGATGCAAGGATCAGAAATACTCATTCATGAAGGTAGCATCTGAGTCCATGACTCAACAGCAAAAGATAATTGTGATTTTCGCACAGAAGAAAGGATGATAATTTTTACGAGGATTCGTTCAATTAGTTCATTTTCTTCTTGCTGCTTGCTGATCTTAGAGGTGATGACAATTTTGGTGGAGTGGTTGATGGTGAGTAGTCATAGCTGTCACTCCTTTCGAGTACACTTTCCACGTCCTTGTACCCATCTGAATTGCTGATAGAGTGGAATGATTCGTGAGATTCCTGTTCAGTAGGTTCACGAATTTGACCGTGAAAGATATTCTTCAAGCTCTGTGAATTCTCTAGGATTCTATCCAAGGCATCCTTGTTTTCTTTAGTTTCAAGAGGATCGAAGAAAATTTCCGTCTCGTCAGGATGATTTTCTGAGGTTTTGATAACCTTCGTGTTGGTTGTCTTTTGCTTCTCACACTCTTTATCCATCTTCTCTTTTCCCTTTCCTGTGCTCATACCTGCAAACAAAAGGTTTCAAAGAAGAGTGCACTTGAATAAAGGGTTAGTGTAAGCGTATTGATAGGCAGTATTTGTCTTTTAATAGCACGAAAAGATATCATCTTGCGTGCAAAATTATCTAACAAGTTTCCTTTTTTACTTTCCCAAGATTTGCTTTTTGGAATCTTTCCAGGAATCTTTTAAAAGAGAACATCTCAACACGCAAGCTTGTTAGGTCATTTCAATCATTCCAATTTCGTGTCGAAGAGTAGCAAATCTATTCTCACAAAGTGGTTTAGTGAGAATATCTGCTAGTTGGTCATCTGTATTGACATATTCAAGAGAGATGTCCTTCCTCTAAACATGATCACGAATAAAGTGATACTTAATGTCGATATGTTTTGTTCGAGAGTGTAGAACATGATTATGTGTAATAGCTATAGCACTTGTATTGTCACATTTTATGCTCACTTCTCGTGTTATTACGCCATAATCTCTCAATTGGTGTGTCATCCACAAGATTTGAGCATAACAACTGCCAGCCGCAATGTATTCGGCTTCAGTTGTGCTAGTTGCAATAGAGTTTTGTTTCTTGCTAAACCAGGATACAAGTCTTCCCCCTAGGAACTGGCAGGTTCCTGAGGTACTTATTCGATCAATTCTACAACCAGCAAAATCAGCATCTGAATAGCCAACAAGATCAAAAGAGCCTCCTTTCGGGTACCAAAGTCCTACACTTTGAGTCCCTTTAAGGTATCTTAGAATCTTTTTGGCAGCACTCAGATGACTTTCTTTCGGTTTTGACTGAAACCTTGCGCATACCCCAACAGCGAGTTAATACCATCTGAGATCCTCCGAGTATAGTGATTTTGCCACGTTTAGTCCTAAACTTTCAAATTTACCATTTGTGGTCCTTCGACTTTCAAATTTAACCATTCGTGGTCCAAGTTAACCACCCATGGTCCTTCAAGTTTCTAAACTTAACCAGTCGTGGTTCTCTTAAAAGGACCATCGTTGGTTAAAATTTAATAGTTGAAGGACCATGGGTGGTTAACTTGGACCACGGATGGTTAAATTTGAAAGTCGAAGGACTACAAATGGTCAATTTGAAAGTTTAGGACTAAACGTGGCAAAACCACTATACTCGGAGGACCTCGGATGGTATTAACTCCCCCAACAGCAAAAGAGATGTCAGGTCTACTTGCTGTTAGGTAGGGAAGGGATCCAATAATTCCACGAAAATTCTTTTGATCCACATCCTTCCCTTCGTTGTCAATTTCCATTCTTAGCGATGTGCTCATAGGGATTTTGACTGAGGACTTTCCATCAATTCCAAACTTACGAATCAAGTCTTTTGTGTATTTGGCTTGATTGATGAATATCCCATCTGGACATTGTTTGACTTGTAAACCAAGAAAGTAGTTTAATTCTCCCATCATGCTCATTTCAAACTTTCCTTGCATGAGATTTGAGAATTTTTCACATAGATCAGGATTCGTACATCCAAAAATGATATCGTCAACATAGATTTGTACTAGCAACACATGATCATCATTTTTTATCCGAAAGAGTGTTTTATCAACAACTCCTTTCGTGAATCCACAGTTTATAAGAAAGTATGATAGAGTATCATACCAAGCTCGTGGAGCTTGTTTCAGTCCATATAAGGCTTTCTTGAGATAATATACCTTTTCATGCTCACAATCTATGGTGAAACCAGGTGGTTGTTCTACATAGACTTCTTCTTCTAGAAGACCGTTTAAGAACGCACTTTTTACGTCCATCTGGTACACTTCGAAACCTTTATAAGCTGCATAGGCTATGAACATTCTTATTGTTTCTAGCCTAGCAACAGGTGCGGAAGTTTCATCAAAATCAATGCCTTCTTCTTGGCAGTAGCCTTTAGCAACAAGTCGGGCTTTGTTCCTAACAATTAGGCCATCTTCACTCATTTTATTCCTAAATACCCACTTGGTTCCAATAACATTTTGATGAGTGGGCCTAGGAACAAGTTCCCATACATTGTTTCGTTCAAACTGATGAAGTTCTTCTTGCATAGCTTTGACCCAATCTGGATCATTTAAAGCTTCGTCGATAGATTTTGGCTCCATTTGCGATAGAAAGCAAGCTATCATATTTTCATGTATAGAGGCTCTAGTTCTTACTCCTTCTTGAACATTTCCAATGACTTGATTGGGTGGATGATCTCTTAGCCATCTCAGATCAGGTTCAAAGGACGTTTGTTGATTTTGAGCATCCATTTCAGGAATGTAAGGTAGATCAATATATATCATTGGTTCGGAGGTAGTTTGAACATTAGGAGCCATACTTTGTGTACCCACATCAGTTTGAACTCTAGTTTCGGGTTTTGTTGATTTTGGTTGATATCTCGTGTAGGATGGAAGATGATCTTCAAGGTCTGTGTCTTCTTCTTCATTTGTTACGTTCTCCTGAGTGTTTGAACTTTGTGTATTAGAAGTTTTAGTCTCAACTGGGATCTTCTCAGCTTGTTCACCGAATTTAACATGGATAGATTCTTCTATGACCATTGTTCTTATGTTTAGAACTCTGAAGGCTTTGCTAACTGAAGAGTATCCCATGAACAATCCTTCATCGGCTCTTTCGTCAAAGGTTCTCAGATGATTTTTCCCATTGTTGTGAATAAAACACCTGCATCCAAAGATGTAAAAATAACTGATAACAGGTTTCTTACCTTTCCATAGCTCGTATGGCGTCAGGTTGTGAGCTTTGTTGATCAAGGATTGATTCTGCGTGTAACATGTTGTATTCATAGCTTCAACCCAAGAGCGTTTAGGCAGACCAGAGTGTGTGATCATAGTTCGTGCTGCTTCTTTCAGGGTTCTGTTCCTTCTTTCGGCGACTCCATTTTGTTGTGGAGTACGTGCTGCCGAGAGTTGATGGAATATGCCATTTTGTCCACAGAACTCTTTGATGACTTTATTCGCAAACTCGGTTCCCTAGTCTGATCTGATCCTTATTATGTTGACTTCCTTTTCAGTTTGAAGTTGTCTTAGAAGATCAGGTAGTACTACTTCTGTTTCATTCTTCTTCTTTAAAAAGAGTGTCCAAGTATATCTCGTGCAGTCATCTACTATGACAAGGGTATACTTTCGTCTACTCAGACTCGTAGGGTCAACTAGTCCAAATAGATCCATATGTAATAAACTTAATGGTCGAGAGTTTATGTCTGACTCTTTGGACTTGAACGAAGTTTTGATTTGCTTTCCCTTTTGACAAGCCTCACAAATCTTGTCTTTAACGTAGGTT